CACAACCACCCGCCCGCAGGCCGTAGGTCGCATTAGTCAATTCACAGTCGTGGCGGCGAGGTAGAGTGCAGGGGTGTGCAAGAAAGAGGAAGAGGATAGGGTAATAGGATGAAGATGAGGTGGAATGTCAATGGTCAATGTACCGCCAGCCGGGACCGGTAAAGCTAGCGATAGATAGGTAGTGTGGAGGTGCGCGCGAACGAGGATGACGAGGAATAGGACTACGTGTAGTAGGGCAGGGCAGGGTGTAGATCGTACGTAGTGCATCCACAAACGCTCAAAGAAAATTCGATTCGATTGAAGATATAACTTCTCCTCCTCCGAAATGTAGATGTAGATGTAGATGTAGACGAGAAAAACGTGTAATTAAGACATGGACATGGGATGGGGAGATGAGCACGAGATGAAATGTGAAAGATGAAATGGGGTCTAATTGGAATGGAATGGCTGGGGCGCGTCAACGCGCGGGGGTGGGGGGTCGTTGCGTTTGTGAGGTAGGGCATTACGGGGTGGGGTCGGGGCGTAGGGTGTGTCGGGCATCGGGCGTCGGAGGGCGTATGGTGTGTCGGGTGTCGGGCGTCGGAGGGCGTACAGTCGAGTGTGGGATCGGGTCGAGTCGAGTCGTAGCATATAAGATCAGGGTGTCGGGTAGAGCATCGGGTGTCGGATATCAACGGCGTAGGTGTAGATCATACTCCCCGTCCACAATGTCGCAGTAGCAGGCCGCTCACGCGGCCCCCACCGCCCACCCCCACACGCGGAAGAACAGCATCAGCGCGCCGCCCGAGATGATCGGCAGCGTGAGGTTGTCGTCGAGTCCGCCGAGGTCTGTGGAGGATGTGGGTTAGCGGCGGTACGACGGGAGAATGAAACAAAGGAACGGAAAGAGAAAAATGGAGGAGATAATGGGATGGTACGAGGGGAGAAAGGAGGGCGGTGCCCCACAAGAACAACGCACGCCCCTACCCCCACCCCAGCTTAGCACTGCCCTCATAAACTAGAACATGCGTCGAGGCGCTTGTCCTCCTCCAGCTCCTCCGCTGGACTGTCTGTCCCGTTATCCGCCCCCAGCGACGACAACTCCCGCTCCCCCCCAGCCACTCCACTCCCCAATCGCGCCTCCTCTCCCCCGCCCACGTCTCGCGGCACCAACGCCAACAACGACCGACGCATAAACTACCAAAAAGACACCTCCCCACTCCACCTCCCCCGCCCAAAAAGGCAACTCCCAAAACGCAAGACGAAACTCCCGAAACTCTCCCCAAAACTTCGAAACCCCAAAGCTCAAAGCTCGAAACGTAAACCCGAAAAAAAAAACCCCCAAAAACAAGCCCGAAACACTCACCCAAGGCCTCCGCCACCCCACTCACCACCCCCGCACACACCACCAGCGCCCCCAGCCCCACCACCCCGCTCACCCCGAACCGCGCCGGCGTCGTCGCGTGCTGTCCCGCCTGTTGTTGGGTCAGTTTTTCTTCGTGAAGTGATGAGGAAGACAAAAGAGGGGAAGGAGGAGGGGAAGGAGGAGGGGGAAGGGAGGAGGGGAAGAAGGAAGGAGTACGAGTACAGGAAAAGGGAGAAGGCTCACCTGCACTGGTAGCGTGTGCGCCGTAGCCACACCCCCAATAAGCCCCTCCGGCACCCACCTCCGTGCCCACGCGCCCTCCTCGCTGCGGAGGTACTGCCCCGCGATCGAGTACTGCGAGTGGTACCCGTGCGCGTGCGCGCCGGAGACGCCTGTGGGGAAAGGGGTTAGTATTCAGTTCCGCGATTATGATTGTGAAGACGGAGGGAGGGGGAGAGGGGGGTAGTCCACGCAAGCAAGAACTCACCCTCCTTAACAGCCCGCATCTCCGCCACGCCCTTCACCCCTCTCAGCCCAGCAACCCCACACCAAAACCCTAACGCCACCAACGCACCGGTCACACACGCCGCCAAGAAGCCCGCGGTGCTTTTGCGCGGGGCGAACGGCGTTTTTAGACGGCGTGTGGGCTTGCTTGACTTTGTGGTCTTTGTGCTCGATTTCAGGGACTTATTTGACGGGAAGGAGGGGGAGCCGTCGTTAGTCTTCGAGTTCGTGCGGACGTGCCCGTTCGCGTTTGCGTGTCCGTTCGCGGTCGCCTGTCGACGGGTCTTCGTCTTCGTCTTTAAATTCTCGGCTAAGGCCGTCTCCGTCTTCGTCATAGATGAACCCTCGGCTGACTCCTCCAGCAAAAACCCCGGCACCCACACCCACTCGGGCAGCCACGCGAGCGACACGCTCGACGGGAGGGGCGGCGTGCGCGGGCCGTACATGCGCCCGAGGGTGGAGGCGGCGGTGTCGGCCCAGGAGAGACTAGGGAGGTGATATTAGCATTACTTCCACTTGCACGTCAACATTAGGAGAGGGAGGGAGGGAATGGCGGGGAGGGGGGAGGAGGGAGAAGAAGCAGAAAGGGCAGCCAGGAAAAGTACAAAAAAAAGTACAAAGAAAAAAAAAAAATCCGCAAGGAGAGATTCTCCGCGCCATACACCGCCGACGAGAGAGGGCAGTCCCGCACACCGACGAGGGGAAGCCCGACGCCAATGCGTATCAGCCCCGAATGCGAATGTGACACGATATAATAGAGTACGACGAAAACGAGAATGAGAAGGAAAATGATAAGCCGCGACGCAAGCGCACACAACCCAGACTGAGTCGCAAGACGCACGAACGCGCTCAAGACCAGATAAATACGTGTGGCCAACAATGCCCCGAAAAAAAGAAAAAAGAAACCCCCCGCACACAGGCCACGAACAAATAAAAAAAGGATTCGTGGCCCGCACACGAAAAACCACCGAGGTAACCCCACGCAAAAAAGAAAAACCAGGTAGGGGCCAAGTTTCGCTCGCTCGCGAGCCTCGAGTGACGCGAAGCAAAAGCAAAAGCAAAAATTGTCCCCATAGCAAAAACGCGGATACGCAAAAGGATGACGGCCGCAGGACAAGCATAACGGCGGCGCGCGCCGCACGGGGACTTTCAGCATCCCTAACACTATCGCAATGTCGCGGCGCCGACTCAAATGCGATGATACATGACATAATGGGAACACAGCCCGCAGTCGAGAGCGAGCCCGGGCCGAGGCGCACGCAGGGACCCGGGTGAGGGGACTATCGCGGCGGCCGACGCTCTGCCGCATATATGCAGACCGTGCACGTCGCCGTCGGCGGTGGCGTCGGCGCGGCCACTATCGCTGAGCGACCTGCGATCATTATCGCGCACGCAGACCAGCTTCCGACGCGCTCGGGAGCTCGGAGCGGATGCCTTGACGCACAAGTGAAAAGCGCTGCGCGGTCATCATCGCGGTCGTTATCGCAGCGCCGAGACCGACCCCCCCATCTCGACCAGGGACCCCTGCGCAGACCGTCCACGTCGGCGTCGGCGCGGCTACTATCGCGTCGCCCGAGGCCGAGCCGCGGTCATTATCGCGGAGGCCGAGGGTCGGGGCCGGGTTAGAGGCTGGCGATAAGACGCCGACGGAGATGTCGAGAGCCACCACTAGACTCGTGCGGAGAGGAGACCAAGCCCCAGACCGAGACCGAGACCGAGGACGCGCGATATATCGCGCGGTTGACCAAGGTAGGGTGCACGACCGACGGACGATACGAAAGAGAAGAAGAGTGAAAGCAAGCCGGAATGAAATGAAATGAAACGAATACAAAAAAAGAAAGGAAAGCAAAAGCTGAGTCAAAGCGAACGCGCAAAGCCAAAGCCGAAGCCGAAGCACAGAGTCAAAGCCAAAGCCAAAGCAAAGACAGAGTCAAAGCAAAAACAATGAAACAACGGTGGCACACGACCGCGGCCAAAAGCGGCACACGACTGCACGGACGTAGATCGGGCGGCAGGGTATGTGTCGTGTCGATCGCGCCATAGCACGATCACCCCATTACCCATTGCCGGGAAAGACAGGGGGTAGGGGTGCCTTATCTTCACCCCCGAGGCAAGGGGAAGAGAAGGGAGACGCGACACGAGGGGGAGAGAAGCGAGACACGGGGCTGTCTCGCAGTACGAAAAAGGAGAAGTAGAGGGGGAAGAAACAGCAAGAAGGAAGGCAGGAAGGGAAGAGGCAGGGGGAGGCAAAGAGGACGCACATAAGAATCGCGACAGTCGCGACGTCAATCGGGTAGAACGTGAGCGCAAAGTTGACGCCGAGGATGTACCACAGCGTGCCGTTCGTGCCCGTCTACAACCGCAATGGCAATACCACAAATCAATTAGCCACAGGATAAGGATGAGGATGAGGGAGGGAGCACGCACCCGCTCACTCTCGCGCATGAGGAACCCCAGCAGCCGCTCATACACCCGCTCGACAGCAGGCACACGCAGCCGCACCACGTCCGTCGGCGCGATTACGGCCAGCGCGGACCACAGCACGAGTGTCACCGCGCGCGCGGACATGCTCGGCGTCAGATACAGGCCTAGTGTTATGAATCCTGTGTCCAAAATCCTCTTCAGCTCTCTCTCCAAGCATAAAAAAAATGGTAGGGGGAAATGCCACCCAACGCAAACGCACCGATAGACGAATGGAACACCTTCCTTGGGATCTCCCAGTCAATCTTCTTCTTCGCCTCCCCCACCACTCCATTTGCTGCACCGTCCATCGTCGCGCGTTGTTTCCCGTGTCGCCGGTCAGCCCTCAGCGCCTCAGCCACCTCGCTCTCTTCCGGGTCGTCGTCCGTGTCCGTCTCGACGACGGCGTGTCCCAGCCCCTCGAGCGTGCGTATCACTTTCCTCGTGACGCCCTTGACACCGGCGGCGGGGGACGGGCTGGCGGAGGAGCGGCGGCGAGGTACGGGTGGAGGGGATTGACTGCTCGTCGAGCCGGGCATCTAGTACTACTAGTCGCAGGGGGGATTTGCGCAAAGGCGACTTGAAGGAGAGGAGGAGCGTCACACCAGTCACATAGACGTGACTCATTTGAAATGGATTCCTCTTCTCTTCAACCATGTCAGGTCTTCGACCGAGTTAGGGTGTTGGAGACCGCCCGGTGGCACAGTGGTAGTGCATCTGCTTGATATACTCCGTATGTATCGTTTATGCAGAAGGTTCCCCGTTCGATTCGGGGTCGGGCGATAACATCGCACTGATGGCCGCTTTTTTTTTTTTCACTCTTCGGCTGCTTCTACTAGGAATGCCCTTTTTCGATCTTTTCACGCCATCTATTTTACTCACTCCCAAGTCCAGTTTCTGGACAAGCAGTTCAACACCTTGGCCGTCAGTCGTGACTCGAAACGGACCCCTCTTCTCCTTAACGATGCTATGTATTCGACCCAGTTAAGGTGTTGAAGACCGCCCGGTGGCACAGAGTTGTGCGTCTGCTGAATTTGAAGTTTCGGAATGATTGGAGTATGCAGAAGACCCCCGTTCGATTCGGGGTCGGGCAATAATACCAGTGGTTTCACTTTTTTGACCTTTTTCCCTCCGCCATTTACTTATTTCACTCGCTTTCGATTGGATAATCAAATGAACACGCTCACAATGTTCTTGGCTCAGTGGATTCCACCAAATGATCTCGAGCTGGCTGATTCAAATTGGGCTGATTTTCAACCATAACCACTCGAGGTTCGCACGTATAAATTCAGAGACGTAGGAAGGTATAGAACGACCTGGTTGCACATGGCATGCATCTGCTGCAGGTAGGCTGTTGGAGCCACTTTTCAGGCAGAAGACCCCCCGTTCGATTGGGGGCCTGGTGATGAGCTACTCTTGCACTGCTTTTTTTTTTTTTGGTCATCCCAATTTCTTGCATGCGTCCCATCTACTCTGCCGTCTTAATGGCGCCACTTCTCATCTGCTCGCTGCTGAACAACTGTCTTCCGCAGGTTGCTCTCATGATTGATTGATTGAAATTCATTTGTGTGACTACATGTGGCCAGTTGAAGGCTATGGTAGCAGGAATAATGGTGTCTAAGGAGGTGATCTAGTGCGGGGGAGTTATAGCGAGGGCTTTTTAAGAGTACGGAAAGGATGTAGAATTACGGGGAAAGCTGGTCTGTGTAGTATTAGTGGATGATATGGGAGGCTTGCGCAGTGGGTTTCGACGAACATATGCGAGATGGCACGGGTATAGATTATATAGGTATATAAGGTAGAGTCGAGAGGGAGAGATAAAAAAGAGAAAATAAAAATAAAAATTAGAGGCGGGTGTTCACGAGAATCGTCCCAAGGCTTCAATGAACCTTGCGAGCGGTTTCAATAGTTGGGGGTGCGTCAGGATGGGGAGAGGTGAAGCGAGCCGAAGAAGCCGACGGCCTTTGCAGCATTGTGGAGGGGTTGACGGAGGTGCTCCACGCTGGGCACTCCAGGAGGTAGTGAGTGTGGGTTTCGTGGGACGAGCCGCAAGCCTCGCACGCTGGGGAGTCTATAAACCCGATTTGAAACGGTGGGCGTCATGAGTGTCATTATCCCCACATTTTTTGGGCTGATTATCGATTAATTTCAACCACGAATTTCAAGCACTGCCAGTCCAAGTTCGCACGCAATTCGCACGGACGTATGAAGGTATAGAACCACCCGTTAGCACATGGCGTGCATCTGCTAATCTATTGAAATCTGGCGCTAGCGTCCTGCAGAAGACCTCCGTTCGATTCGGGGCCGGGTCATGAGTCATTGCAGAGGCCTTTTTTTTTTTTGGTCATCCCAATTTCTTGCATAGATCTTTCCTATCCTCAAAATTTAACGGCAGCCGTTCGCTGCTAAACAGCACAACTGTCTTCCGCAGGTAGCTCTCGTAAGTGCCATTTCCCCACAACGTTTCTGTGGCCGATATTGCTATTAATTTCAACCACGAATTTCAAGCACCGCCAGCTCAGCTTCGCACGTATAAATCCAAGCACACAGCGAGGGATAGTACCAACCGGTCGCACATGGCGTGCATCTGCCTCAAATAACGGATTCCATATTGTAGGCAGAAGGACCCCGTTCGATTCGGGGCCGGGTCATGGGTCATTGCGGCGGAGGCTTCTTTTTGCTCATCGCGATTTCCTGCATGCGCATGTGTCCTATTCTCGCAATTTAAGGGCACTACTCCTGCTCGCTGCTAAAAGAACTGTCCTTGGCAGGTTGCTCTCGTGAGTGTCATTGTTTGAGGCTGACTTCGGGCTGATTTCAACCACGAATTTCAAGCACTATCAGTCCAGGTTCGCATGTATAAAATCAGGGAAGCAGGAAGGTATAAGACGATCCGGTGCCACATGCCGTGCATCTGCTGATATTGTCAATGCAATCCATATCGTCGAGGGCAGAAGGACCCCCGTTCGATTCGGGGTCGGGTGATCATTCGAATTAAGCAAATCTTACTTCTTCTTTTTGTCTTTTTGTTTCACCCTTGCGGTCTTGCTATTAGTATCAAGTATGAGACCCACAATTACGCAGGACCATCGCCTGAATGGTTCCTTGGTGAGTGTCATCGTCTGCAACATTTTTCGGGCTGAATTCAAGCACAATCACGCCAACTGCAAGGTCGCACGTATAAATTCAGAGACGCATGAAGGTATAGAACCACCCGGTTGCACGTGGCGTGCATCTGCTTCAATAGTGTCATTCAAAGTTGCTCCTATTCAGCTCCTACTTGACTTCCTGCTTGTTTTCCTACTTGCAAGTAGGAAAACAAATAGGAAGTTTTGATACTCCTACTGCCAAAATTTAGCTCCTTCTCTTGCCTCTTTTTGTACTTCCACTCCATATTCCCCCCAAAAAATTACAGCTGAGAACGTATGTGTAAAAAGGAAAAGAATATTGTGTTTCAAAACTATACCACAGCTGGGATTATGTGCAAAAATAAGGGGAAGTTCTACTCAGGCAAAATCCGAGGTAGGGTGTTCGAAGTTGATCAAATTCTTTCCTACTCTTTCTTCCTTCTTAAGGACTAATTAAGAAATTGAGCAGGAAACTATGCAGGGATGTTGTAAGGGTATATCAGGACACTCAGTTTCATTTTTTTAGAAATCTGAGCAGAATTGCTTGCTGGGCAAGAAGTAGGAGCCAGAGTAGGAAGCAAGTAGGAGCAACTTCGAACGACACTAATTGAAACCTTGGCGATGGTTGAGTGCAGGCGGCCCTCGTATGATTTGGGGCCGGGTGATAGACGGTGTTACCTTTTGTTTCTGCCTCCGAGTTGTTTTTGCCCTCCACGCGGCCTTACTCTCCTCGAACAAAAAATGGCATGGGCCTAGAGAACCAATCAGGATTTTGTTTTTAATTTTTGCTGTACCTACCTTCGCCATTTGGTGACAGTGGTGGGTATCAACCGTCTGCGAGAAAAGGTGTTTTGGCTGATTTTGCGCACGATTTCAACCTCGCCTAAATCAAGTCCGCTCACATAAATCCAAGGACACAACTAGGTATACCAGCACCCGGTCGTACATGGCGTGCACATGCTCTAATTAAATGCTGACTCCTGGGCATGTTCCAACGCGGGATGACCCCGTTCGATTCGGGGCCGGGTGATAGATGCTTGGTAAACATTTTTTCGGCCATTTTCCCATCTTGCTTCCATCCTTCCACTCTTACCGCAAATTTCTGCAGAGCATTTTATAGCCCTCCCAGGTGTAACCCGGTGGTGAGTTACGCCTGGTGGTGAGTCTTGGGCCCGAGTCATATCACAGCTTGCAGGGTTTTTTTTTTGGTCATCGCAATTTCTTGCGTGACAGTAAGTACAGCGTTCTCAGCTCAGTTTCGTGTAAATAAATACAAGGCTATAAGAAGGTACAAAGACATGCATATGCCTCAAATACGAAGGCAGAAGAGCTCTGTTCGATTTTTTCCTACCTCCCCATATAATCCTGACACATAGAGCCGCTCGCACAACCTGTGAGCCTTAGGGATCGGCACCGTGCCGTATACGGTACAGATCTACAGATACGGACCGTAAAATTGTGTGTTTGGAGACCTTACGGGACGGTTACGGTACGGTTCTGGACACTGTACTAAGCTGTATTACTAGGTGTACGGGCAATGACAACAGTGGCGGAGGAAGGTCAGTGAGATTCAAAATAGTGGATTCCATCTTTTCTCACCTCCTCGTGTCTGTCTTCAACCTTCATTCCCCTTCTACCTGCCGGGCTGGCGAGATCAAGAACAAACCGTACCATACCGTAAACTTAAGGGGTTGCACAAGAGGCTATACGGGACGGTACGGGAAGCCGTAAAACCGTAACCGTATACTGTATTATACGGTTATGGTGCCGATCCCTAGTGAGCCTCGAGCGACATAAAGCAAAAGACAATACATGGTGGACAAACTGGGAATAAATAGTGACTTAGACCAGTGACTGGTCTGTCTATGGAGGCAAGCCTGTCAATAGATAGACCAGTCGATCTGAGTTTGAATCACCAATGCAAAATAGTTACCAAAAAAGGTTATTCCGGACCGTGTTCCGAGTGAGTGACGTCAGAGCCAAACAGTGACAAAATTTATACATTTTCAACTGGTAGGCCCAAATTCTATTGGTTTGCCCTCAGATAAGCCGGGATATGCTCTCTGAAACGCTCCGAACACGCTGATGTAAAAAATATATTGAGATCTCCCACAATTCAATTCAATTCAAGATTCCATTTAAGTGCATGTGGGCCCCTGGGGGCCCATATCGCACTATATACATATTACAGGTGAATGTAAGTAGCTGGCCCAGAATGTATACTTGATAGGATGGCTAGAGTATGGGGAGGGAAGACGGGATGGGTGCTACGAGGGTATGGCTTGAGTTTATGAGACAGGGCAGGGTGTCTATGCAGAGTCAGGTGTATGAGAGTATGTAAGAGTCTATGTAAGAGAGAGAGGAGAGAGAAGAGTTAGAAAAGTGAGAGTGGGGAGGGAGTTAAAGTGCGTAGTGCGGAAGCGTGCAGTCTCCCACACGAAGTCCAGAAGGGGCTTGGGCTGGGATTTGACAGAGAGGAGGAGACAGAGGGAGAGGCGTGCGGTGCCGAGCCGCTGGATGAGGCATAGGTGCTGGAGATGATAGGCCAGGCAAGTGAGGAGGTAGTGGGGCACGGTTTCCGGGACGAGACAGTGGGCGCAATCAGGGGATGGGGCGAGGCCGAAGTGGTACAGGTACGAGTTGAGGGCAAAGTGT